CACTGTTATATATATATATATATATATATATATATATATATATATATATATATATATCACAGTCAGACAACAGTCAGACAACAACAATAACAACAATAACAACAATAACAACAATAAACTTGTAAAAGTTGTAACTTGAATTAGTCCTTAGTAAGAAGAGGTAAGTTGTTTGGATAAAACAAATCTACTATTCAAAATTTTAAGTAGTTGACATAGTCATTTTGGGCTTATCATTTATAATTAAGTTTTACTGCCATTATTCTCCAATCAAATGATAGTCAAATTTCCATTTTTTTCAGAATTTGTACTGTTAGCGTGTCTTCAAAAGATATGAACAAACCATATGCATATTGCATTTATCTATATCTTTACTCTTTAGCCTGTGACTACTTACATGGTATTCTTGGCATGATCTTATTTACAAATGGAGGTATTAAAAAGCCTGTTATCTGAATTGTCAATTGTATCTTCATGTGATACTCACATCTAATTTGTATCAATATTTTCCATTATTTGGCTGGAGACATTCTTTATGGTTTGATTAATTTACTAGTAAACACAGGGCTCTTGGTTCAATTCATAGCACTGATATAAATAGACAGACATAAAATATGGATACTAATAAAAATAGTTAAATGGAGATATACACTTGGCAAAAGAATTTTTATAGTTAAAACTTCAGAAAATAACCATGGTATGATGGTATGCATTACTCTCATCAAAGCAAGTTGAAGACTGAAGTAAGAGAGATTTGTATGTTCAAAGCCAACCTGGCTACATAGCATGGTTCTGTCTCAAGCATCATGTACCCTACCCTGTCTTTCCAGGTTTATACACAGGAGACCTAAGGACTCTGCTATCCAAACATGAAACAGACAAAGAACAGAACAAATAAAAAGCCAAGCCAAATTAATAGTTCAAAACCAGACTACTGTTGAAGTTGAGAATGAATGCATCTGTTGAATTCCTGCTTTGAGATACATTCACTGAGCTGTGTTCATTTATCCTTCTAGAAAGGTTTCCAGGGTCTGGGTAAATTCCAGTTTAGTTTTTATTCCCACAAAAGCAGTACCCTCACCATTAGGGCACTTTTTATGTCTCAATACCTTAGTACATCTCATGCATCCTGACAACTCTTCTTTCTATGTATCTAGTTGTACCTATTTGTCATCTAGGCTTCCTAGATGATAAAAACAAAAGATTTACTCCTATTTTTAAGGTTTGCCATGTGTTTTAAAGAAACTTTAAGTCCGTGAACTTTACTAGATACATGTAATATACCCAGAACACACTGAAAATCAATTCTCTTTAATGTAGGTATTTGTAATGAAAATGTAAATCTGTCCATCAGAGAAATGAAAGGGCTTAGCTTATCATGGAGGAAATTGTAGCAGGGCCAGTTATTTTTTTTTCAAGAAGAAACATATATAATAAATATTCTTTTAGAATTTACCAGATCATTATTCCTATCATCCTTAATATTTATCTTAGTACATTTTTGGAAGTTTTGTATGTGGAGAAAATGTGATGATTAGGCATGGCTTATCATTATTGCTACAGAGAGACTCTTCTCTACCTAACACATGGCCAGATGCTTGATTTAATAAATATCATTTGCCATATTAAAATATTAAACTACAACACAGGTGTGCCTAGAGACTACCTTAATTCATACTTGTTAAAAAAGAAAGATCATTATGATATGTGATTTTCTCTAGTGAGGAGGTGTCAATTATTCATTCTTTCAGAATGCACTAACTCTTATGCAATAACAATACAAAGTGACCTTTGCACAAAGGATATAAGAAAATTTGGATCCAGACCACAGGGAGTGTGTAACTCTCAGCAGACTTCCTTTTCTGAAAAACTACCACAGCTTCACAAATGTTCAGAACTCTGAGACATCTTAGGGCCCTGCATTCCATCTGATCTTCCTTTTTGATTTTGCTAAATGGAATCCGAGGTCCTTAGAAAACAAAACACGGGGTGTAGAACTAATCTTCACAAAATTCACATAAGCAAAGAATTCGAGCAGTTTCCCATCTTATTGACAGACTTTGACAGATGCTATCAGTGGCTTTGCATGCTTTTTCTTTTCATATGATAAGAAATAATTTATATATATATATATATATATATATATATATATATATATATATATGGACAATTTCCCAGGAGGGATTTACTAACAGCCAATTAGACAATATTGACATGAAAACTACTCTTAAGTAAAAGGGA